AGCACCATGGACAGCACCAAAAGGAGAGCAACTGCTTCTTAAGATGTACTCTGCGAATAAATTGCTGTGTGAGATGACTGGGGCATATTTCACAAAACAGGTTTACTTAAAACTCTCACCCTTTTAACCCTTTAAAGCCCGATCCAAGAATAAAACAAAACAGAAAATTACTTTTGTTTGGTTTGAAGTCCTTATTTGGCCTTTTAACAAAATATGTAAAAAGAAAAAAACAGAAACACATTTTTGATATTAATAATTTATTACTATGCGATAAGTCAAGATTATTTTTTGTGTAGTCTTCTGCCCTCTGTTATCAGGTAAATCTGATTGTATACAATGGGATTTTGAGCAAAGTTTTTACCATAAAAACATGCAAAAGGTGTCATACGCAAAACATTTCAGAAACCATGTGTTTAAAAAATTTGATACATTTGGCATTACAGGGTTAAACCTGAAAACAGGAAACTTCAAGTTTTCTGTTTCACAAAGGGAGTTATTAAACCTCTGCTTCTGCTATGTACAATAACATTCTTCCCAGAACAAACCTGGTCTGAAAAAGGTTTTCTTTAATAAACTCAGTGTCCTCTGTCCCTGTCCTCCTTATAGCCGATCATATTTAATGAGCAGAGTTTCTGTCATAGTTTTGTGTGAACAATGAAAAGAAAATCATTACCTAAGTCCCTTGGACAGATGAGGTGTTAAAAACACTAACATAACATGTCCTTTTGACGAGGATCCAATAAAAGAATGAGTGGCATTCATTCACAGAGACTTAAATATAGAGGGTTTTCACACCACATATAGATGTTCTTCCATATTCAGTTATCCTTATAAGCGCTGCTGTTTTACCTCACACTCCATTACACACATCCACAATCTTATTTGTCCTCACATTAGCAGCATTTCAAAGACTTTTTTAACAGGTATTTAACAGACCTTGATATCAATGAGAGAACATTGATATGCGATAACATTATTATAGAAGAAACATTTTACAGTCAAACAGTCACTTATTATTTACTGTTTAATGTAAGACAATAAAAAATGAGGGGGAAATTTGCGAGATGATGCACAAATCTACCTGTTCCAACAACATCTTTATACTTTATCTTAACCTGCTGACAGGTACGCATCTCTCATGTAATATTTAACCTAAATATAATGCATTGATACACTACCATTCTACCAGTAAACTACTTTCCCCCTTTTTTATCATGATTACAACAGTCTATGGCAGAGCTTTTTGACATTTATTAGTTTGTCAGTTTATGTATTTCTGATATCTGAGAAGAATATTTCCCTGTCAAAATGACAATTTTACACAAAAGGACCTTCTTCATATCTAAAATAAAAATTCTGGATGTCTAGAAATAAAATTCGGACCCCATATTCTTACCAATTAAAGTGACAATATGACCTTATACAAATCCAAAGTAAGAGATAAGAGTGAGAGATATTTGCTGGAGTTATTCTCTTTACTGCAGCTGGTGGTTTCATGATATAAATATATTATAAGTTATCAGTTGCTAAAATTGTAATGAAACATCCCCCAGGTAGGAAAGGATTTGTTTGTTTAAAACAAATACATTAAATAACAACCTTCTGGATGAGTCAACTAGGAAGCTGCAAAGTTTGCTTACACCTCAGGTTGGCCCTAGAGATTTAAGGTATTTGCTGTATTAAGCTGAACTGAATTAAGTTGAAAAAGCTATGCTGTTTTATTTTTCTTCTATAAACAATAATTCAATTACAAATACAAGTAAACTACTTTTCCCCTCTGTTATCATGTTTACAACAGTCTATGGCAGGCCTTTCTGATATTTATTAGTTTGTCAACATGTACAGTATTTCTGATGTCTGAGAAGAATATTTCCTTGTCAAAATGACAATTTTAAACAAAACGATCTTCTTCATATCTAAAATAAACATTCTGGTTGTCTACAAATAAATTTTGAATCTCCATATTCTTACTGTTACAGGTCATAATCTGTATTATTTTGATCAAAAGGAAAAATATTTCTGATATCAGAAATACATATTCAGCCAAGCTGAGAAATGTCAAAATGGCCACTTAATTTATTTTTTTTATTTCTAGGTATATAACCTGTTATTCTTAGTAGAACAATTTTTTTTGTTTTTGTTTTTCTCTGAAATTCTGCAGCAAAAATGTATTTTAGAAAATCTGTTATTACAGTTCTGACAAGGAATGTGATTGCAACTAGGAAGAATACTATTTTAGTGATCTTTAAAGGAGCATGCTTTTAATAAATGTTAAAACGGCCTGCCACAGGGGACTTAAAGGTACTCGCTTCCGAGAGGAAACACCCACACCTATCAAATGCCTGCAAAAGCATGTAAGAGCCTATTTCTCTTTCTGCCCCTTACATTTAAATGTTGCCGTTTGCATCACTCATCCAAGGCTTACATTCCCAAATTTTTGCAATTTTTCCACTGTCATAATCACCATCGGTAAGTGAAAACCGGGACGAACATGTAGCACAACCTTACCTAAACTCAAATCACCAGAATGATTGACAATTAGGAGGACCACTTATTTTGACGATCCACCCGGGACAAGAACATCCTCCACTATACCTTTAAAATAAACCTAAACATTAACTGGAGCAGCAATCTTCTCTTATGCCATCCCATCTCCCTCTCCTTTGTAACTGTTGCTATAAATGTCACTGACGCTGTCTTTTAGATATTTTCTTTATTTCTTTCATTTCTGCCTTAAACTCTCTAGGTACAGTGATATGAATTAGGCATTTCTTGTTGCCTGTTGTCATGGTGACTAGTAAAATAGGGGCTCCACTGATCATGACTTTTCATACTTGTTAAATAGATGCTAAACTCTGAGTATGTTCACTCAGAGTAGATTAAACTAAATCACAGCAGCTGCTGGGAAACCAAAAACAGTTTCCAACCTTAGTTGAGGATTTGAGTCTGAGTTTGTTAAACCTGCTTTGTGAAACGGATCAATGATGGCATTAAATCCAGTCTGAGATGCAGATTGACGCGTGGATGGTCCACAGCTGGATTTCCAGGCGCCTCTGGTTTCCCGCCCAACAATCCAGCCCCCACTCTCCGCCCTGTGCGTCAGCTGCCAGAGAGCAGTGATTTAAACCCGGTCCGAGAAGGGAAGGTGACTGCCTGGGTGAGACACTGGAGCGTCTCTGCGTTAGAGTCTGCCACACGGTGGAGCAAAGCTTAACCAAACTTTCCCTGTAACATTTGACAACACCCCAATCCCCTTAAGAACCGACAAAAAAGTTTGACATTTCCCACCTTAAGGCATTTATCATCTCCAATCGCCAGTTTGGCTCCACTTTTACTACTTGACATTTTATTTTTTTTTACGCAACAAGTCTGTTCCCTTCTTTTCCCACACTGAGAGCAAACCAGAAATGCCGTCGCCACATTAGTCGCCGTGGCCGCCCGGTGTGCCGCCGCAGTGACTCGGGCTGCCATGCTCGTGTCTAACGCGAGCCTGAGCGGCTGCGCGGAGTTCAACAGCGCCCTGTGCGCCGGAGCCGGAGAATGGCACCCGGGGGGCGGTACGCTCCGGACCACCCTAAGCCCAACGGGGCACCTCGTCGTGGCCGTGTGCCTCGGCTTCATCGGTGCGTTCGGACTGCTGAACAACCTTCTGGTGCTGGTTCTGTTCTGCCGCTACCAGATGTTGCGCTCCCCCATTAATCTGCTGCTCATCAACATCTCCATCAGCGACCTGCTGGTGTGCGTCCTCGGGACTCCGTTCAGCTTTGCTGCCAGCACGCAGGGACGCTGGCTCATAGGAGAGAAGGGCTGCGTGTGGTACGGCTTTGCCAACTCCCTTTGCGGTAAGTAAAGACAGCAAACAGGACTGTATGTAAGTCCCGTTTGGCATAAAGTCCAAATGTCTGCATTGCCTCTTGCCACATTGAATTTGAGAGTTAAGCTGTGATTTTGAGTTACGACTCAGTTGCGACAATGCCTCTTTTTTTTAATAGAAAAGCAATATGTTCATTTTAAAACTTCCAGATAAAGACTTGAAAGATGATCACAATAAGCTGCAAATTCAGACGTCAATTTCAATGCATAAAAAGCTTTAAATGTCTTTAATTAATCATAAAATTTGTAATAAGGGTTTGATGACATTCTATGCTGTCAGTCTTATCTTGAAAATCAGGGAAATACTAATATTTGAGTTGATGTTTGCTTTTAGGATCCCTTAGAATCTGCAGTTCAGGCTCCGCAAAGGTGCATGAATGCCATCACTCTCAGATATGCACTGATGTGTGTAACAACTGGACGATTCAAAAATCAATTAACCATATCATTTACAAACGACAAAAATAATAACATTTTTGCATGGTTTTAAAATAGTGTAATGTTTTAGGGAAAATAGGTTTGAGTGATGACGTGTTGCACCAGGGTGTAAAATGTCGCATGATCAGGATCCTCTAAATCCTCTCTTTTAAAAAACAAAAATCAGAAGTTGTCCAGGAGGGATTCGATCGCAGAAGATTATAAGGCTCAGACGTTCTATAAAAAAGAAAGCAATGTGATAAGAAGAGATCAGTTTATAAATCAATAAAGGGTTTTAAAAAATCAATCCCAAAAGGGACATTTATGAGGAATTCTTTTATTTATTTAATTGAACATTTATTTTTCTAACACCCCCCTCAAGACATTGCCATTTTTAAAGTGCAGCAGTGATAAAATGTAAACATGGTGATCTGACTGGTATAAGACTGGTATATGATTTACAGTTTCCATTCAGCGCTTTATTTTTTTAACCCATACATACCTTAAACCATATTATGTGTGTATAAATATACATATAAAAAAGTGCCATCCCTCCACACCCCAACTTAAAACTTTCTTGAAGTGTCAGAGCATGATTATGCTTTTGTTGTTTCTTTTGATTTCATAATGTCAACTGCTTGCACAATGCATTTTCCTTGCCTTCTTTGAGTCATTTTGATGCTAACTGTAAAGAAAGTGCTATTGATTAAGGATGTAACTTCTTATTTGTCTTTGCTTGTCGCCTTAAAGTTTTTAAGCATGTAAGCTTTCTTTTTTTTTGTAATTGCTTTAAAAGATTTCCGCTGAGACAACCTTCACAGAGCAGCCAATCTGCAAAATGGATTTTTGAGAGTCTTTTTTTCCCCTCCTCTATTCAACATGAGTACGTTCACAATGATTCACAATACAAAATGTCTTTATTGCCTTTAATGCTCAGTCAGTTCGGTGGTTATAAACAAGTTTGGCAGAGTATAGAAAAAATAATAGGAAGAAAGGATCAATTTGGATTCATATTGATTTGATCACTCACTATGTTCACTTATATGTCTGATGAACCATTTACCAGTTGCAAGACGAGCTTCTGGTAGAACAAAACAAAAGAACACTGTGAAGGAATATTTGATAAATGAACCTTGTGAAGGCACAGGATGTCCTTTGAAGAGATTTTGGTTATTGAAAAACCTTTGGAAAAGAACTGAGATATTTTTATTTTTAGAAGATTCTTGTATAAACCTCAGATAGATGGCACCACAGGCAGCCCCTACTTTTGTTTAAAAAAAAGGAAAAAAAAAAGGCAATTAGAGCCGATCCCAATGAAAAGGAAAAAAAGTTATTAAAACACTTTATATGCTTTGAGAAAAAAGACATAAGGAATTTCAATTTGGGTTTTAAGGAATCTGCAGTGGGTTAATCTAATTTAGGTTTCATCAGTCTCTTTTAGACTTTCAGAAGATAAAATGGAGTCCACATTCCTGACAAAAAAGAGAAAGACCTTTATAGTAGCAACAGGTCATATTTATCCGAGTGCAACTTTAGCGAGCTACAATATTTAGTTTATACTTTACACGGTGCATTAACACAAATATGTCCGCTCTCTGTGGACGTGCCATACAAATAAGCAGTTGAAAACGTTCTGTGTTGCAACTGACAAATAACTTAGCAAACGATGTTTACTAAGTTCTAAGGTGTGTTTTTTCACTATTTGCATTTAGACATTTCATTCATCTTAAAATCTAACTTCCTAACGTTTAATGCTGGACCCAATAATACCAGCAATAAAGAAACTGTGGGAACAACAAAAAAAAAGAAAAATCCTGAGAAGTTCTGGTCACTTTTGTAAATGTGTAAATGTATTTGAAAATGATTCAGTGAATGAATGTAACAAAAGTTTACAGGGTCAGGAAAAGTTGATAAGGAGATCACCTAAAAGGAAAGTAATAAAATGTTGCTGTAAAGTAAAAGTTTGGAAAAAAATCAAATTTTTATGCCATCTTTTCAAACTTTTGAAAAAAAAAAAATGCTATATGTTTTAAAAGAAGACCTTGGAGATGCCAGGTAGGATACAAAAAGTATTTAGAAGATGTGCCTTAAAGAATACCATACATATTTCCCTGCTGTGTGGCTCAGACATACCTCTTTATCTATTTCAAGACCATAAAAGAAAATACTATTAAAGTATTAGATGAATGCTTTTAATAAATTTGAAAACAAGGTTAATTTGGCTGGCCATAAAAACTTAAAACCAAAATAAAAATAGTTTTGGCATTCACGGTTGTTTTAGGAGTACATCGTGTTAATTTATTTCTCACTTGCTCTGTGTTTATCTATGAAAAAGATCACATCATGAAAGAAAAGCAGATTCTTCTAAAATCATGAAGTTTATTGAAAACTTGTCAAAATGAAAACTTGTCAATCGTTTGAAATTTTTTTTTAGGTTCTCTGTAACATAGTGCTCTGCATCTGTAGCAAATTGACAGATTGCTGGATGCTTAAAGTCAGCTTTTCTTTGATGAACTTTTGTAAAGGTCTCATGAATTTTTGACAGCTCTCACTCAGCTCAGAAGATCTAAACTCTTGATGCTTGTTTGCTCTGAGTAGTTAAGCCTCCAAGAACCGCCCAAAATCAAAACTCAAACTAAACATCAGAACTTTGAAAACTTTTCTTCTTTAATATTCTCCCTGGACTGGAGGGGAAGGGATTGAACGTCCAAACATCAAGAAATTCTCTGAAAAATTTTCTAATGTTGTCATCCACAAACTTTATATATTTGATAGTGTTCCATGTAAAAAAAGAGAAGCGAAAAAAAACATTTGTTCTACCCGTCAAAGAAATGCTATGGTTGTTTATTTATGAAAAACAAAGTAAATATAATATTAATAGAAGTACCTGCTCCTCAAAGTCTAAGAAAACCCAATATTTAAATGAAACAACCTGTTTATATCATTCTGCCAATCATTGTAGGTCTAAAACCATCAAACAAAAAGTTTCTCATACTTTCTTTTTCAAATTAAAGGCACATATTAAGCTCATGGAAGAATATAATTTTTCCATTTTGCAGGTCTGTAAGGAGTTTTTTTTCTGTTTTTTTCCAAAGGAAGAGGATATTCTTTCCTAAAAACAGTTATTGTTTATTGACGCTTACTGAATGAAAGTGCATATACCTGCAGGTCATTGTTTTTTATTACTGATCTGTTGCTGATTTGCTTGACACCAATTTAGAAGAACCCCTTGTGTTGCTACAGTAAGTCTCATTATTGCTCTTTCTGCTACCAGTCCTTCAGAGCCGTCCAGACTACTGCCTCTTTAATTCTTTGTAAAATACTTCAAGCTCAATTGGACTAAATAGAGAAGGTTTGTGAAGAGAAGCCTTTACGTCTTAGCACAGAGTCTCAATTGGATATCAGTCTTGACTATGACAAGGGCTGAGAGAATGAATCGGGTTTATCGTGATTAATTGATTATTGAAATAATCGTAACTAATTAAGATTAATCGTTAAATGGAGTATAGAGACAGTAAAAAAAATGCCTTTAGCTGACAGTGACCCACTTAGAGTAGTAATTAAACAAGTATTGTACAAAAATATATAAATATTTAGCATTTAAGATAAAAAACATTTTCGTCTGTCAATGTGTTCAATCCAGAACTCCTCAAGTGGAAACATTATAGTTTCCTGGTTTAATTTAGTAAAGAAGTCTTCTTCAAGGAACCTTTGGGTATCTGATTATTAATCGAGTAATCCAAAAAGTAATCAACAGATTAATCGACCTGCAAAATAATTGTTAGCTGCAGCACTAACTATGACTGAGCATTCCAAAAAGTGGGATCATTTAAGCTTTATTATTGTAGGTCTATTCACTCTAAATTTAACCCATCCCCTTGAGGAGCAGTGGGCTGCCACTGTGCAGCCCCTGGGAGCAGGTGGAGTTAAGGGTTTTGCTCAGAAACCCAGAGTGCAGGCTGTGGGGATTAAACCAGGTACTTGCAACCTTCTCAGAGCACAAGTGTACTGCTCTAACCACTAGGCCAACACTGAATGTTAACACTTCCCAACATAAACTTTGTTGCATCTTATTACCTGGATTTTCCCATTTCAGATTGAAATTTTTAAAGCGCTTTTCCAAACAACTGCTGAGCAGCTTCTCTATCCTCCCCCCAGGATGATGCTCCCTCCGCCATTCATAAGGAGGATGGTTAATGTGTAATGCTAGTATTTTCCTCCACATTTTGGTTAACATGAACGCTAAAAAAGCTTTGGTTTTATTTGAGCAGAGCAAATTTGTTCACATGCTTTATATAGTGGTGTTCTTTTAACGACTTTCTTGATGGCCAAATTTGGGTTTTCTTTCACTTCATCAATATTTGCTACCATGTGTTAACCTGTTACCTAAAAATGTTTTAGAATATGTTGAGTTTAAGTTCTTGTGCTTTGACAAAATATAAAAAATCAATCAAGAACCCTTAATTTGCTTCAGATTTTTGTGAAAGACTTAAAGCTATTCACATAGTAACCTGATCTATCTTTCTATAAAATCAGAGTTGGTTTCACTTTC